CAGTTGTTTTCTTCAGAGCACATGTGAGATTTACGGCCTGATTATATTACATTATGTTATGTTACATTACATTATATTATGTTATCGTAGAAGCCCTGATGGTGTAGTGGTTAAGCACTCAGCTGTTAACCAAAAGGTTGGTGATTCAAACCCACCAGCCGTTGCATGGGAGAAAGATGTGGCAGTCTGCTTCTGTAACAATTATGGCCTTGGAAACCTGATGGGGCAGTTCTACTGTGTCCTGTAAGGTCGCTATGAGTCGGAATCAACTCAACGGCATAAAACAACATGTTATATTTAGTACACTGTATCATATTATGGAGCCCTGGTGGCACAGTGGTTAAGAGCTCAGCTGCTAACCAAAAGGTCAGCAGTTTGAATCCACCAGCCGCTCCTTGGAAACCCTATGGGGCAGTTCTACTCTGTCCTATAGGGTTGCTATGAGTTGGAATTGACTTGGCGGCGATGAGTTTGGGTTTGGTTTGGTTTGGTTTGATATCATATTATACTATATTTACTGCATTGTGTTGTATTATAGTATGTCATATTTTTTGTTATCTGATTGTTTGATACCTCCGGCCCCTCACTAGAGTGTAAGCTCTATGTCGGCAGAGACCATTTCTGTCTTGTTCACTGCAGTATTTCCAGTGCCTCATTGAGACTCAGCAGATATTTACTGAATAAGTGAACAAAATCCATGAATATATGTCAATATTTGTTCACTTCTCTATTATCTGCCCTGACTGGGTTGTGAGGAATGTGAGGGCAGGGGTCTTGTCTGACTTGTTCTCTGCTGTTTCCTGAGCACCTGCCACTGGCCCTGTGTGTACTATTTGCTCAGTAAACACTTGTCAAATGGATGTGAACCTGGGGTGCAGTATGGGAAAAGTCATTTGTGACCGCTGCCCTCAGTGCAGAAAGGCTCCAGGCACGCCCACAGTGGCTCTTCTGACTTCACATGTCCCTCTGCTCCAATGCCAGCTGCAGTGCATTTCTTGAGTGCAGGGACCCTCAAAGTCATAGGCAGTGTCATGTAATGGGAAAACGACAAATGACTGGGAATTGGCCAGATCTAAATTCCGGTCCTTGATTAGCCATTTATAACGTCTAAGACCTTTAGCCAGTTGCTGAAGCCTCAGTTTGCTCATTTGTTCAAAGGTAGATAATAATAATAACAACAACAGAAACAGCAATAAATCTGCCTGGAAGGGTTTGAGTGAACAAATCAGGCAACAGACATGAAAAGCGCAAGGTGGGATGAACAGTCTCACGCAGGTGTGTGTTGTCACTATTATTAGTAGCTACAAAAGCTTGAAATAGCCATTGAGAACCAAATCCTAGGGTGAAACCAGAGTTCTGGGAAGAGACTGCTTGGTGTCTTCCAACATCCATTTTCCCATCTTCCTTAGTAATAAAACCCTTGATTTCGACGGCACATAGGATGGAGATTACATTTCCCAGCCTCCCTTGCAGCTAGGTATGGCCTTGTGCCCAAGTGCTGGCTGAAGAGATATAAGCAGGTGTGTGCAACTTCTGGGAAGTATCCTTAAAAGGAGGGACATGGCTTTCTTTGCCTTCCGTTTTCCTGCTAGCTGGAGGTGGCCTTGGGGCCTGGAGCTTGAGCAGCCATCTGGGACCATGAGGAAGAAGTCAGTACCGAGACGGTGGAACAACAAACAGGTGCCTCAGTCCCTGACACTTTCCGGAAGCCCCCCTAGCAGCCTGGAGCGCCTGCTTCCCTGTCCTTTACGAGAGAGAAAAAAACTTCCATGTCGTTTAAGCCATTGTTACTTTGAATTTTTCTGGCACTTGCAATCAAACTTAATCTAACCGATACAAGCTCCAAAAAAGATGAGGTCGCATGGGCTAGACGAGTTTTATTTTTAATTAACAAACACTTGCCTAATGCCAGCTATGTGCGAGGCTTTCTCCTAAGCCCTTTACAAATATTACCTCGTTAATTCTAATACATGGAGCGTTTACCATGACCGTGTAAGACACTCTAATGAAGCTTACTTTATATAATCATCCCAACCATAGGAGGCTGAAGGCGGTTATCACCACCATTTACAGGTGAGAAAAGGGAGGCTTAGAAGGGAAGTGACTTGCCCATGGCCACCCAGACAGGAAGGCGCTTGCTTTTTCTGTCCTCGGCAACCCTAGGCCTGGCTGGCTTCTTCCCGCTGACTCACATCCTCCTTGGGGAAAGCAAGACAGACCAAGTCCATTCTCCCTACTGTAAAGTTGGGGACCCGGCCAGGCTTCTGGGTTTGAGTTGCCCACTGGGGACCAGAACCACGAGATACCGAGGCCGGTTCTCAGACTCTCTGGGTGGCTCTGGTTCCTCTGCAGTCTAATCCCCAGAGTCCCATAGTGAGAAAACTTAGCTTTGGGACCAGACCACCCACCTCCAAGTTCAAGTGCTGGCACCTTCTCTGTGTTTACCTTTTGAACTTTTATTGTGAGCTTATCATTTAGGGGGGAAAATATCCCATAAACTTAAAATAGGCAAGACTTAATTAACATCATGCTTTGTTCTTCTGATCCTTATCTATACAGGAAAACACACCCCTTCTCAGTTTTGTGGGTCAAGGTGAAACAGCCTCTGGGGGCCTGGAAACAGCTGTGCCATTTTCCACTTTTGAACTCTGGTTCCTTTGGTTTTTCTCTCCCTTGGGTGGGTTTTCCCTAGCTCCTTAGCCTGTGCACTTTTCCACCAAAGCGTTTTCTATTTATCAAATTGCCAGCATTGCATGTTATAATGATTTCTTCTTCTCATTTGATTAATAGCTCTGGTGGCGCAAGGTTAAGCATTTGGCGGTTGGAACCCACCCAGCGCTTCCTCGGGAGAAAGACCTGGCAGTCTGCTCCCGTAAAGATTACAGCCTAGGACACCCTATGGGGCAGTTCTACTCTGTCACGTGAGGTTGCTATGAGTTGGAAATCGACTCGGTGGCACCTAAGAAAAACAACAACATTGAGGACCTACCGTGGTCCAGACACTCTATTAAGAGTTCCTAATACCCCTACATGGTGGGTCTTATACAGTCATTTATAGCTTTAGAAACCCTGTGGGGCAGTTCTCCTCTAGCCTACAGGGTCACTATGAGTTGGAATAGACTCAATGGCAATGAGTTTGGTTTTGGTTTTTTGGAAATGCTTGAAGTCATGTTGATATATCATGCTGGGGTTTACACTTAATAATAGATGAGGAAACTGAGGCCCAGATTTGAGAAATGATGTTCTCAAGGCCACACAGCTTTAAGAAGTGGAGCTCGGCTTTGAATCCAGGGCTCTTTGCCTCCAAACGCCCATGATCAGCATGTATTGACCACTTAGCTATGTACTTAGGTATATACCATACAATTATTCTATTTCACAGATAAGAAAACTGAATAAGATCCAGAGAGATGAATTCATTTATCCAAAGTTGCACAGCGATTAATAGTGAACCTGGGATTTGCACCAAAGTGTGGCTGATAGGTAGCCTGGCTCAGAGTAAAAGTAATAGATTCAAAGCCAAAAAAGGGAAATTTAGGTCTTCATTGTGTGACTTAGGGCAAATCACTTAACCATTCTGAGCTTTAGCAAAATGGGGACATGACCTACATTTTTCCAACCCACACAGAGGTACTGCAGAAGAAAGGCCTGGTGATATGCTTCTGAAAACCTTGATCTCCTTGAAAACCCTGTAGTGAGGTAGGAGGTCCTGGGTGACTTTGAATGCCCACACGTACTTGGTGCAGTGACTGCTAGGTCCTGGCCCTACCAACTTTGTGCTCTCCTTCTGATCTGAGGACCCTGCCGCAAATGTGCTCCACCAGATCTGCGGTCAGGCCAGGAAGCAACCAAGGTTGATCCCCCTCCTTGCATTTATTAGACCTGGAGGTAGTAGAGCAGCACTGTATGTCTTGGATCTGGCATTGTTTCATCCCACTGTCAGTTGGGACCGAAAGAATAACCCAGAACCATGGAACAAACTGGGTCCCAATGATGAATGCAACAAGTTCTCTGAGTGACTGTGATAAATATTTGTTGAACAAATGTATAAATGGCTTTTTGTCTTGACTTTGCCTTAAACTCTTGGCGGGACTCTTAGGCCATTTTCCACCCCTCTTTGGGCCTCAGTTTCCCCACCTGTAAAATGGGAGTTTGGGCAGCGACGGCAGCCCAGGGATCGCCAATGCAGGTGAGCGCTGGCTGACTAAAACAGAGAAGGCTCGGGTCGTGCCTGTGCCCAACACCCGGCCTTCTAGATTGGGCGGGGGAAGCCCCGCTCCCGTCCCTCAGCCGCCGAGGCCAGCGCGAGGCCGTCGCCATGGAAACGTAAGCAGCCTGGAGCCCCTCCCTCCAGAAGCCACGCGTTTCCGCTGCGTTGTAGCCTTCTGGTTGGACAGTCGTCTGGACGCTACCACCAGCCCCAAGCCCGCTGAGGGGTGGAGGCGGGCCTTCGTCTTCGTGGGACTCGTGCCCTGGGGGCCTGTGCATTTGGCCTCTCTAGGGGCAGGTGGGTCTTCTGCCTCACGCGGGGAAAGGGACTGAGTCAGTCAGATCGGAGAATGTCCATTGCTTCTCCTACTAGAGATACGTTCATGCGTCTCCCCGTAAAAGGATGAGGGGGCGGGAAAGTCGGCGACGCCCCCTCCGAGCTTATTCGGTCCCAAGTGTAGAGCACCGGAAGTGCTGGCGACGTGTCAGTGCGCCGTACCCTAAACCTTCCCCCCTAGGCCACCTTTCCCATTCAACTGCGGGATTCCGGGGCCGCCTGGGCTCTGCACCCTGGCACTTCCGTATCGAGCCGCCGCTTCAACCGAACTCCCTCTCTCTGCGCGCGCTCCATCTCTGGCCTGATGGTTGGGCCTGCGCCTGGGAGTAGCCACGCCCCCTCCCGCGCCTATCAGCCAATGGGAGGACGGCACCCGGCGGGGTGGTGGGTAATTAATGAGGTCCGGGCGCTGATTGGCTGCAGGGTTGTGGCCGGGGGGCTGGGCGGTGGGGTAGGTTGTTCCCGAGGTGGGAGGTGGTACCGTTGGCTGAGGAGAAGGAGGCCTGAGAGCGATATGTCCCCGGCGGCTGAGGCAGAGCGGCCCGTGGCGCTGTTTTTCTGAGTTCGGGGTGGCCTGGCGGCCGGCCGAGGACGAGGGTCGGCGGAGGCTTTCCCCGCGGTGGTGCACGCCATGCTGGAGGCCTGGGCGGTTGAGGGAGCCGCCGTGGCGCTCCTGCGACTGCTGCTGCTGCTGCTGCTGCCGGCGCTCCGGGGGCCGGGGCTCGGCGTGGCCGGCGCGGCGGCGGCCGGGCTGCCGGAGAGCGTCATTTGGGCCGTCAACGCGGGTGGCGAAGCACATGTAGATGTGCACGGGATCCACTTCCGCAAGGACCCTTTGGAAGGCCGGGTGGGCCGAGGTGAGAACCACTCAGCCGAGCCGCGGGCTTCCTGGCCTGCCGGGTCCTGGGCACCGAGGGCTGCGGGCCGCGACCCCCTTTCTCGACCATGTCTCAGAGCGAAGTTTCTTTCTGCGGTTTCCCCAGGGACCTCGCCAGGGCTCAGGACCTGGCACTGGCTCGAAGCTACCAAGAGCCACTGAGACAGAGAGTTGGCGAGAAGTTATTTTGGAAGCTCGCATCCTGCATTTTCTTAACCCTTCACCCCTCCCCCTACTCCCAAGTTGGGAAAGTAGAGCCGGGGGCGACCTATTTTAACCTCAAGGCCTCCCGGCGTGTAGATTATCGGTGCCGCTGGCCGTGGCGGTTCTGCTCTTTTGTCCAGACAGTTCCTGGTCAGATTCCAGGCTACCCAGAAACCGGCCACTTTCCCTACTCCGTCTGCAGGAGCGGGGCTTGATTCTTAGCCAGAATAGAAAGGAATCTGAGAAGAAGATGGGCCAGGAAAGTTTGATTGTACCCTCCTCCCCCGTTCCCCTCCCCCTTGGAGCGGGGGAATATCTGTGCTTATAAGTAGAAGCTGTAGGCCGTCTCCGAAACTGGTTATATTGAAGCCCTGCTGCACGCCAAGCTGGTGATAGGTGTCAGCTGGGTCACCTAGTGTAAGATCTGAATATTCTGCCTGTGAGAGTTCATAGAACCAGCCCCAAGTTGTTCTGCGAGGTATCATTCCAGCTGATGGGAAAATGATTTTGAGTTTTAACTGGTTGAGCAACAGTCATTTTTACAGGGCTGCACGCTTCTGGAAGTTAGCGTGGGTAAGAATTGCCTGGGGTGCTGGTTAGAAATGCAGATTCCCGGTCCCCACGCTGGACCTAATAGATTAAGTTCTATCCTTGGGACTCTGTATAAGGTTTTCTGCACGTGAAGCTTCTGTTGTGGTGGTCCCCACTCCCTAGACTGTTTCTTCTGTTAAGTAGGTTCGGAAAATGGATTTAAGAAGGCAGTCGCTTGCTTCATGTGTGGGAAGGAGCTGTATCCTGTATGCTGGGTTCAGAGGCTCCTAAATTGGCAGTATGCCATCTCCAGACAACTAGGAGACAGACTCTCTCTCTTTTTCCACGATGCCGGGATTTGGCTCTTGCCTTTTCTAAAGGGTTTGACTTAGTTCTTCCTAGTGATTGCAGTGTCCTGGAGTTTGTTATATTAGGGAATAGGTCACGCTTATCCATGTGTGGGTCTGGGGACACAGGGTTGTTTTCTGAGGTTCTGTGTTTGTCCTGGAATTTGTTAGCCCTGGCATGTAGGTCGCGGTAGCCTGGGTTAAGCTGAGTCAGGGCCCTGGTCTTTAGAGGCTGTAACAGCAGCCAAAGGCAGGCTTTAAAGCAGGAGGTCATTACTGTCTTCATCCTGGACCCTTCCTCTTTCCTAACGGGTCTTGACAGGGAGGAAGGAGCCCTGGAGGAAACTAGAGGCAGTTTGTGGACTTTGCCTCTTGTGATAGCTGTGGTGAGGAGAGAGCGCATATGGCTCCTTTCACTTAGTAGATAGCAGGCTTTACACTGGTTACACCGTCCTATTAGGTCCACTGTGCAGAGGGTAAAGCAGACTAAGTCCCAGGTTTAGTCCCCAGGTACTGTGCTTTTTCAGAAAGTATTCTGGTTTTTTTTTTTTTTTTTAAGGCTGGCCAACAATTAGCCAGTGTCTCTGCACTTGGGTTATTGGCGCATGGTTGCAGTTCCTTGGGAGGAGTTTATTGTAGCAGGTTCAGTTACGTTAGACTGTACTGGTGTTCCATCTCAGACACTAGTCTCTGGGTCAGTGTATAAATGGAGGCTCCCTGTTCCTTTCTGCCTGCCGATCTTGGTAGCAGCATTAAGGCGTGAATGATGGTGTTGGGGTGAGTGGCCCTTTGGACCAGTCTGTTGCAACATTGCACTTAACAGGTTTTTGAGAGTAGCATTTTGCAGGTCAAGGAGCCCTGGTGGTGCAGCAGTTAAGCGCTTGGCTGCCAACTGAAAGGTTGGCAGTTTGAACCTAGCCAGCCGCTCACGAGACAAAGACCTGGCAATCTGCTCCCTTAAAGATCTACGGCCTAGAAAACCCTATGAGGCAGTTCTGCTCTGTCACATGGGGTCGATATGAGTCAAAATCAACTTAGCGGCACCCAGCAACAACAGGTCTGGGGCTGAAACTGTTGACGCTTCCACTCACAAGAGGCAGCTCTCTAGTTCCTTTCTGTGCTAAGGAGCTTGCCCCACAGAGGAAGTGCAGCTGTTCACTCTGCCTTTCCTTCTCTGCCTTGTTTGGATCAGGGTGTGCCAGGTATTTGGAGACCCTTGCCTTATGCAGCCGTTTACACTAATTACAGTCGGAGCTGCATGTCTTATTTCTTTTCCCACATGCCTGTGATGCTTTTTCCAGCATGCTGAGGAAAGTTCATTTTATGTTGAATGAATTCAGGTGTTTGTTGCCAAGTTAGGCCAGATAAGGTTTTGGCCTGCTTTTGAACTTGCTTTTTGAACTTGCTGTTTCTCTATGATTTCTTTGTAGTTCAGTGTTTTTGTGACCGTGGGTGGCCCAGGGCACGTAGTGGCTTACGCTTTCATAGCCACTTAATAATGTTTATTGAATTTCTCTTCTGCCTGGAGGATAGCTACTGCTCATAGGAGATGCTTTTAACGTGTGTGCTTCAACAAATGGAAATTCCACTGCAGAAAGTGGTTCAGAAGTGCTTGCCTCGGGATTTTGGCTTGCATAACATTCTGGGTCCCACTGGACTCTGACTAGGAAAAGACCTGGTTATTTGGCCTGAGGGCATAGAACTTGGCTTGGACTTCGGAGGTTTCCTCTTCATGGAATGGGACTTGCTAACCAGTTGTATGACCTTGAGGAATCCACTTTACCCTCTGAGACTTGTTTTCCTTCTCTAAAACTTCTCACATGTCTATGACATGACTTCTGAAAACTTTTCTGCCCAGAGTAGGTTAAAGTGTCTCTATTTTTTTTTTTTTTTTGCATGATGACCTTTTACTGGAATTAAAAGTAGGACAGAAAATGGTTCCAGAGGGGGGGAAAACTGGCTAGGGGCCCAGGCCTGTTAGATTACTAATTCTCTAGCCCTAAGGAGACCCTTTCCTGAGCAGCCTTCCTTTCAGCTGGGGAAGGACTTGGCCTTGGGAAGATAAGAGCTTGAGAGATGGGAAGAAAGTCATTGTTACCTCTGATTTGCTTAAGGCCATAGGATTTGTTCAGAATTCTCTTCCTATACTATCACCTGAGAGGCAGGGTTTACCTGCAGGCCTTCCAAGTAGCAGAAGTTCACAGGTGGAGAATTTGGGTCATTGATTCCCTGGGTTCCCTGTCCCAGTCAGTTCAGAATAATTCTTTACCAATGATCTTGCTTGAGAAAGAAATGATTCAGAATGATCTAGTGGTTGTGTGTGAGGCCAGACATCGGGGTGGTGAGCCATGTTGGAGCGCCACAGAGATGGCACAGTGGTGGTCTCATGGACGTTCCTACTCATTTTGGCTTTCCCACTCCTGTGGCTCACAGCTGCAATATTCTAGTTAGTTTTATTACTTCCATTTCAGCTTGGTCCATTCTCTAAGCTCCCTGGGGTGGAGGCATTTATTTAGTGCTTATTGTGTGCGTATACTTACCCGGCTAGCACACCTGTGTATTTGTTAGTGTCTCTGTGTGAGGCACTGTAGTAAACTCTTTAACCAGTTGCCTTAGAGGACTGGCAACCCTGTGTATGTCAGTAGAAGTGTGTTCCCTAGGGCTTTCAATGCAGATTTATCAGAAGTAGGTCACTAGGCCTTTCTTCCGAGATGCCTCTGGGTGAACTAAAACCAGCAACCCTTTGGTTAGCAGCTGAACACATTAACTGGTTGCACCACCCAGGAGCTCCATTAAGCTCTTTACAGATGTCTTTTGATCTTTGCCCCAAACCTGTGGGGTAGGTGATATCCCCACTTTACAGATGAGGAAACAGATCTAGAGGAAACAACATCACAGAGTGGGTGGCAGAGCCAGAACTGAACTCCAGGCCTGTCTTCTCTAAAACCTGGACGTTATTTTTCAAGCAGCCTGGCTACTCCATAGTCTAGGGCTAAGAAGTAGCAGACACAGGGTAGGCCCTTTGGCCCCCTTCCCTTTTGTTTAGCTGCCTGAGCTATATTGTCCCAACTTCAGCAGTGTGCTGACGGAACACTTCACTGTATTTTGGAGAAATCTGTTTAGCTGTGAATACGTAAAGGCTAAACGGGGAGGGAAAAAAATCCTTTTTTGCTGCTTCATGTCCTGGGATGTGGGCAAATTCAACTTTGCATGTGGCAGATCTCTTGGGAAAGCCACTTGGGCTTTAAAGGGAAAATGTTTAAAGGTAATTCCAAGGTTGTTAAGCAGTTTTTTGTTCACATAGCTGAGTATTCTTAGCAGTGGTACTGAGACTGCCACAGATTACATTATTGTCAGTTTCTCACTTTTTCCGCTCGGCAGGAAAAAGATTCCATACACGTGCACAAAACTTTCTGTATCTATAAATGAAATCTAGTTAATGTTCCAAATTTGTAAGGGTCATGGTCCTCATGGAAGAAGGAAATTCTTAGAGCTAAGTTGGAAGAGAAACAGCAGTCCTTTAATCTTTACAGGTTTGTGCCCCAGGGTAATGCTTTTTTTGAGCCTGGGAAAGAGCTGGAGCATGTTAGCAGCACATCCTTTGTAGTGCTACTCAGTTGTCCTTCTTTGATTTGTTATCTTGAGGAGAAATAGGAAGAAAAAGGTCTTAAGACAAAGGACAGTGAGTTTCCTGTTGCATGTCTCATCAGTCCATCTGATCTCAAGGCTAGTTTTCGCTTACAAGGAACGGTTAACAGTTATGCTTCTATTTTTGAGGGCTTGAGCTGAGCCACTGGGTCTTTTAGTTAATCTTTTACCTTTTGCCATGTCCTATCCCTTGGAGTTTGGGGATCCAGAACATAAAGCTCCCGGGGTGACTGCTCTTGGGTGTCTCCTAAGATTTAGGTGCCAGATATCTTCAGAATTACCATGTGAGATTGAAGGTGCTCTTGAAACCTTAATTCCAGGATGGAGTAGGCGCTAGGTCTGTGTACAGAAATCACTGCTAAATCTCGTTTGGAAAGTATGGAGTATTTATGGAGCACTGGAGCACTAGAGAGCCAGTGTTTGTGTTTATGGGATAAAGAAGTAAGGCTGTTTTCCCAAGGAGAAAACCGATTCATCTCTGGGGCTGGAGGGTGGTATCGTATTTGAGAAAAGGCCCCAGTTTTGTTCATTACGTGGGGGAAAAGCATACATACAGTCTTGTCTCCTACCAAGTTTTGGGGAGGGAGAGGGCAGTAGAGACTTTTGGCTCTTCTGATACTTTTGCCTTGCCTTACTCCTTGTCAGTCTGTGAAATGGGAAAGGTAGCCATCTGGGAGCATGGGCATCTTAAGAGGACCTCAGCAGATTTTCTTTCCCTGCTGGATGGCTTTAGCCCTGTGTGTGGAGGGAACAGCATGGCTTCCCTGCTTTGCAGGCACCTCCTTCTGTGCCGTTTGTTTGGTCAGCAGATCATATCTAGTGCCTACAATGTGCCAGGCACTGTGTTAGGTGCCAGAGATACAGTAGGAACTTTTTTTTCTTCTTTGGTTTAACTAGGGGAATGTTCCAGAGAGTAAGTGAAGTGGAGTTTTGTGAGTCTGTGAGAACTAAGGTGCTAGAATCTAAAGGAAATTAGCATCCCGTCCTTCTTTTTATGGCCATATATTTCTTTATCAGCCTTAGAAGCTTTCTTATAAAAAACAACTGAAGTTAGTATCTTATTTGTAGTTAAGACAATGAAGAATGATTTTCTTAACCAGATATCCTGTTTGTTTTAAGCTGTGGGCTTTTCTGAATGAGACAAAAAACATTCTTTGAGTGTCATCATCTTGCATAGAGTTCCTGGCCATCCGCCTTGTTTTATGAGTTTCTCTGAAGGTCTCCCTCTCAGGGAACCAGGCAGCTGCAGCGTAGTGCTTTTTTCTAATAACGCGGGAGATTCATTCTGTCCCCATCACTCTCCATGTACTTTAGGAAAGTCATTTTAATGTGCTTTCAGAAAGTTCTGCTCTGAAGGTTATGGAGGCTGTTGGGGCAATTAGTGTGAGGTTTCTTTCATTTTACTCTTCCGTGGTAATGGCCTCCATACCCTTTGTGTCTGGTCTCTTTGGAGCCAGGTGCAGAGAGGGTGGCCCCTTGGTGCACTGCGTGGGTTATTAGCTTTACCCCGGAAATGCCTCTGGTGGTTCTGGGGTCTCTGTTTTTCTTTTGTGTTTTGCCTCTGATGTGGTTTCTCTTTGTCTTTTGTCCCTAGCCTCAGACTATGGCATGAAACTGCCAATCCTGCGCTCCAACCCGGAGGACCAGATCCTGTATCAAACCGAGAGGTACAATGAGGAGACCTTTGGCTATGAAGTGCCCATCAAGGAGGAGGGGGACTACGTGCTGGTGTTGAAATTTGCTGAGGTCTACTTTGCACAGTCCCAGCAGAAGGTGAGGCCTGGTCAGGCCCCCTGCTTGATTAATGGGACATTGTCACTCTTGGACAGTCAATCCTCTGCTATAGACCAGAGAATGTAAGAGCATCTTCAGAAGTGAGAAACAGACGAACTTTGAGGAAAAGCTATATTCTTTTTGCCCCTAGAGAAGCTACGTCCCATTGCCCGTGAGGCTGCCTTAGAGGTTGGTGACAGAAGGCAACACCAGAATCCTAGTTCTTGGCCAACAACTGGTCCTGTTCAGGCCCTCCTGGCTACCACCTGTTCTTGGTTTTCAGCATCTTCTTGTTTTTAGCCTTGTTCTTTTCTTCTGTCCCTTACTGTGAATTCCCTACTCTTCATGTTGAGCTTTTTGTTTGTATCCTTTGTTCCTTAAGGCTAAGATGAGACCTCCTTGGCAGTAAAGGGGTTTTGATTTAGCCCAGGTAAAGGACTATAGTCATTCTGGGGTGTATCCAGCCCAGTAGTTTCTTAAATGATTTTTGAATTTGAAACCCAGGCAGGTGCACAATGTCCAGCTGCTGAAGGGATGTGAAGTGGGTGGTTTTGATGTTGTCTCCGTTTCTAATCCTGGAAGGTGTTTGATGTGCGATTGAATGGCCATGTTGTGGTGAAGGACTTGGACATCTTTGACCGCGTTGGGCACAGCACAGCTCATGATGAGATCATCCCTATGAGCATCAGAAAGGGGAAGTTGAGCGTCCAGGGGGAGGTGTCCACCTTCACAGGGAAACTCTACATTGAGTTTGTCAAGGTAATGCCCCTGCCCTGCCCCCATGACTAAGGAAGGGCTCAGAAGAGTGGGTGTAGGGGAAAGTGTTTGCTGCCGTGTGGAGCTGACCACTGTTTCCCATTTCCTAGGGGTACTATGACAATCCCAAAGTCTGTGCACTCTACATCATGGCTGGGACAGTGGATGGTAAGTCCTGTTTTTGACTTGGGCTGTAGGATATGGTTGAAGAACCCCTTGAGGGGAGTAATTTAGCTGGTCACTAATTTGGAAATGCCTATTTAAAGCCCAGTTGTGGAGAATACAGAGTCAGATGGGGATGGAATATAACATGGTGCTATTACAAGCCACCAGCTTTTTTTTTTTTTAATTGTGCTTCAGGTGAAGTACAACAAATAGTTTCTCATGAAACAGTAGTACACATATTGTTTTATGACATTGGTTAACAACCCCATACCACGTCAACCCTCTAACTTCTCAACCTTTTTTTTTTTTTTTTTTTTGGTGAAAATACACATAGCCAAAGATACACCGTTTCAGAAATTTTCCACATGCACAGTTCAGTGACATTGACTACGCTCTTCCAATTGTGCTGCTATTCTAACTTAAGATGAAGGCTTCCAGAACAAAATAGTTTCTCATTTCACAGTTACTACACATGTTGCACTATGACAATGGTTAACAATCTCACAACACATCAACAGTATCCTTACTCAACCTTGGGTTCCGTCTCACCAGTTTCCTTGTCCCCTTCTGCCCCTTGTCACTGGAGTGCTGTACCTCGTTAGTCTCATTTGGTTTTACGGGGCTGTCCACTCCCAGGCTGAACGGTGAACCTCGGAGATAACTTCACCACTGAGCTAAAAGGGTGTCTGGGGGCCATACTCTCGGGGTTTCTCCAGTCTCCTTTAGGCCAGTAAATCTGGTCTTTTTTTTGTGAGTTAGAATTATGTTCTACATCCTTCTCCAGCTCTGTCCAGAGCCCTCTGCTGTGATCCTGGCCAGAGCAGTCAGTGATGGTAGCCGGGCACCATCTAGCTGTGCTGGACTCAGTCCGGTGGAGGCCTTGGTAGCTGTGGACCATTAGTCCTTCGGACACAAGCCACCAGCTTTGATCTGTGTTCAGATGTTGCTGCTGCCATTTAATCAGCTGCTTAGTCTTGGACAAATTCCTTTAACTTCAGTGTTAAATCAGACTAATAGTGGTACCTACTGGTGTGTGCTGACCCTTGTAATCATTTGGAGTCTCTTAAAACATGACCTTAATCTGTTTCTTTGTTTGACATCTATTTCCTGGGAGCAAAGGGTAAAAGGTGAAAGGAGGAGTCCTTTAAGGTTTTGGTAGGATCTGAAAGCTCCCAGCATTGCTGGACTACACTAGAACAAAGGTTTACTTAATTAATATCTCTTTGTCCTTGGGATCCAACCGTAGGGTATATTTTTTTCCCATCAGGGTTTTGATTATTGTGGCTGCCTGCTTCCCAGGCTGGTTTTTGCAGAGAAAGCTTGTGTCTTAGTAGCTTTTCTCCCCGACCCTCCTTCTGTACCTTTTCTCAACTCATCCTGAATGCACTGAGGATCTCATCCTATTGTGTTGATACCCTCCCAAGTGCAGATATGATGTCTTGTCATCAAACAGATGTGTACCTGAGTTCCTAAGGAGGAAGTAGGGCAGAGGGGTTGTGTGTGCTCAGAACTGGAACTCTGTGGATCAGCCCTAATTCAGATCAGCTCCAGTTCAGTTGTTGTGTGAACCAAAAGGGAATGTGGGATGAGAAGGTAAGGGGGCAGGGAAGCTAGAGTACTGGAAATGGTACAGGCAGAATGGAATGAATGAGAATGATGACACACTGTGAAACATGTAACCAATCTCATGAAATAATTTGTGCAGAAATTGTCAGATGGGAACCTAATTTGCTATGTAAACTTTCACCTTAAACACAATAAAATACTATTAAAAAGGGGGAGTTGGGGACTGTGGGGTTGTGGGAGAGAGGGGACTCGGAAAGGTTCAGTTTTGGGTGTCGGGTCATTGTCTCTGTCCAATCTGGTCCTCTCAGGGTTCTGAGAGTAGGACAGGAACGGGAGATATTGAGCTGCCCTGTGGGCAGGGCTGTCACTGCTTTTTCGCTAAAGCTAAAGAGGCTAGTTCTGCTACTTGTGCTCTGTCCTGTAGACCCTGATTAGGTTACAGGGAGTCTCTGTATTATGGCTTATTTGCTGCTCTTAAGGGTCTCACTTAAATGCTGTGGGTCTTACTTAAATGGTGTTGACTTTCTTGTGTCAGATGTACCAAAGCTGCAGCCTCATCCAGGATTGGAAAAGAAAGAAGAGGAAGAAGAAGAAGAAGAGTATGATGAAGGGTCTAATCTCAAAAGACAGACCAATAAGAACCGGGTGCAGTCGGGCCCCCGCACACCCAACCCCTATGCCTCGGACAACAGCAGCCTCATGTTTCCCATCCTGGTGGCCTTTGGAGTCTTCATTCCAACCCTCTTCTGCCTCTGCCGGTTGTGAGAACAAATTGCCATCCTGAACAGGGCAGGGGGTGTGGGAAAGAAACCAAACATGCTGATTTTGGTTTCCGTGTTTTTCACGAGGATTAACAAAACACAAACAAAAACACACACACAAAAAAAAATTAAAGGAGATAAAAAGAGGCCGAGTGAGTAGAGAGCAGCCCTTCTGCACCACCTGGTCCCAGACCGGCTTCAGTCCTAGTCCTCTCTTTGTGGCTGGCCCTCAGCCGTCTCTTTCCTCTCTAGGGTACTTAGGGTAAAACTGGATCCTTCCTGTTCAAGGATCCAAGTCTGTATACCTAGTGGAAAGGACTCTGAAGTAAGAGCAGACACAGTTCCCTTTTATATGTTAGAAATTAACAGCAGGGAAATGGCATCTTATTACCTGAGAAGACCAGTGCTGGGAGTTGGGTACGTTCTGAAGTTATGTCCAAATAAGTTTCCAGATGACCTAGGATTGAGAGCGCATGTATGTGAAGGTGTATAATTTGTAAGGTAAAGACAAAAAGAAGAAGGGGGATAAAAAAAAGAGAAGTTGATGCTTTCTTACTTGGAAGCCTTTCTAATTTTCATCCAATGATGGTTCCACCTTAAGTGTTTGAGCTTTGTCATCGCTTGTCTCCCGGATGGGTGCCAATTAGAGGACTGTCTGGTATCCAAGACGATTAGTTATGTCAGGTCCTCAGGTTGCCTCTGACTTGTTACCACAACAGATCATTTTGATTTCAGTGCCTGTTGGGGACCTGATTTCCTCTCATTTTTTCCTTAATCTGGCTCATTTGCAGTCTCTTCTCCCTCTCAACCAGCCCACTAAGTTATTGCCAAGAAAGAAGGAGACATGAGGACTTGGGGTTCCTTCTGGCTTGAATGTCTTATCCTTTACCACCTCACCTTGTTGGTACCTCCCTCCCTGGATCTCTGAGCCAGCAGCCAGGAGGACCTGACCCAGCAGTTCTTTTACTGGCCCCTTTGTAGGGTCTTACTGCCAGGGGCAGGGATGCTTTCCAGCCTGCAGCACCAGAACACTTGACCTTAAAAGTCTCTTCTGGTCTTTGGATTAGAAAAGGCTTATGTTAGCATAACTTAAGAGCAACCTCAGAGACTTGAGCCCTACTAAGTGACTGAACACTGTTTAGAGTGTCTAGTATCTGACGTTCATTTATTCCCACGTCCTTCTATGTCACAGACACATTTTCTGTCACAATTCAACCAGTTTTGATTTATGCCTAGAGCTGCCCCAAGGAACTAGACTGACTGGCTACATCCTTTAACCTAATCAAGGCCCAGCGAAGCTTCTCACTGATTTTAATAATATGTTTCTCTGTCCTTTCATTTCCCCTACCCAAGTAGCAGCCAGGCTCTTGATGTGATGGAGCTGAAAGATTTCCAGTCAGCCCTAGTCCTGGCAGCTCTGAAGCCAACCTTAGCATCTAAGTGTCTCTCTTTAATTCCCTGGAATAATTTCTGCAGGAAATGAAGCATCCCCGTTCCTCTCCTTTGTTGTCACTGTCTTCCGTTTCCTAGTCAGGAAAGCAATGAGAGAGGACCCAGGCAAGCTACAAGGAATATTGTGAACGGGAGGCAGCAGGATTAGCTTCAGCTTGGGCTGGATCAGCATAGAATCTCAGGCCAGGCCCATCTTTCTAGAATGTGTTTAATTTTGAGTTTGCCTTATTGGATATTTTAAGAACTCCATATGTTTGTACTGCTCTTTATGTGACAAAATAAGTAGCTTTGGGGCCCATGTCCTGGCTTTTGGCTCTTAAACGGAGGTACTCCTAGCCAGCATTTGGTGCTTGGAGACTTGTAGCCCTTTTTTTTTTTGCTGTAACTTGGGCCTCGGGACTAGGGTATTGCTGTGGCCTGAGGCTGCAGTCAGAGGAACGCTTCCTACAGTGCTTGCTGAACCTCCCCTGCTTCTAAAGGATGGAGTTCTGTAGCCTTGGTCCTGGGACCACCTGCCTGGGGTGGTAGACGTCCTGACTGTTAATTGGGCTTCTGACCGTGGCTTTGGTTCCCATTCCATCACAACTCCCCAAAGCGGTGGGCCACTGCCATTGGAATAGACAAATGAGGAAGGGCTTGCTGCCTCCATTTTGCCTTGTTTCTTAGTTTGGCTGGGTCTCTCTGAGGAAGGAGGGGCCCCTGCCTCCTCACCTCAACCCTCTGAGACTCCTGGGTCCATTTCCTAATGGTACTATAAGCCAAGCAGCTTTACTTCTGTCTCTGTTTCCAAGCCCACCCCTCCCCGCTAGGCTCGGGGATGGGGATGGGCACTTTCCTCTCTGGTTATATTCAGAAGGAAAGAATACCTTTCCGTGATTAACGGAAACTAAAGGGGAAGTGAGGAAACAGGAAGAAGTATAGTAGGGACTGGGCAGAGTCCCCTGGAGCCAAGCCCACCCAGCTACCAAGAGCTGCCCAGGCTGGCTACAGCTGGCTCGTGATGCTGAACTTGAAAGCTTTTTTTTTTTTTCCTCCTCCAGGATAATATAGGTACATGAAGTGGTTAAAGGGGTGGAATGGGGTGCTTTTTATTTTTATTTTTGTATTGTTTGTGTTGAGAATTACCCTGGTGTTATCTGTTGCTTTTTGCACTGTCCATAGCTGTAGTTGGAGCGAGTGCCAGGACTATAGGGAGTCTCCCTGGGGCTGGGGAGGTGATAAGTGATGCCAGGCAGAGGGGAGAGGGGAGGCCGGGGTGCTTCTGCTGGATCTACACCCTGTCCCAGGTTTGTAGATCCCACTGAAAAGAAAAGCCTACGGCCGGTGTGAAACTCCATTTGACAGAAGTGTGGCTTCAGCTCCTTTTCTGGGTGGCCCCTGCAAACACTCCTGCTGGAGATGGGCTGAGGGTTGGCATCTAGCTCTAACTGGAGTCAGGGGCCTCACTCATGCTGACTGAAACACTGTCAGGAAACTATCTGTGGGGCCCATGACTCCTCAACCAGAATCCATTTTTTTGAAAAATCTCCACTATTTAGGAGAAGCTGCTGTGTGGATACCCCGAGCTCTGATAGATTGAAAGATGGTTATCTTCAAGTTTCTCCCAGTGCTGTTAGCCTCCCAGGAGGATAGCACCAGACCTGGAGGGCCACCGGTTGGTTTGAAGGTGTGATCTTGTTCTCTTGTTCCCACTGTTTGCCTGAGAGATTCTGGCCCGGAATTAGGTGATCATATTGCAGTTACTTAGGCTTTGATAAGATGGGTTGACATTTGAGTTAAGTTTACCTCCTCCTTTCTGAGCCTGGGAATTGTTTGATCCACTTTTAGAATTGTGGTTTGACTTCCTTGTGTGTTTGGAGAAGCTTCTGTTTTAAGGAATTTCTCTTTCTTACCCTGCCTCTAGCCTCTCTCGGGAAAGCCTGGCCATGGCTTATAGAATCTTAGCCAAACTTCAGAAAACAACACTAGTATCTTTCCTAGCATATAATACTCCTTTCCCTAGAAATCGGCTCACCTCGGGAAGCCCAGGGAAAGAATCAGCAGGTTCTCTGCCCTCCCCCGGGAATGGGGAAAGACCCACCCGGGCAGCACAGTGCCTTCTCCTCTCCTGCTCTGAGCCAGGGTGGGCATTCCCCCTAGATTCAGGTCTGGGCAGGGGTCCTTCAGTCCTGTCATGGGGCTGCTTCCCTATCCCTCCCCCATCTTCTCCTCTGCTGGCCTGCCCTGACATAATTCAAGTGTCTTCTTGCCTCAAGGAGCCTTAATGGCATCAAGCAGGAACATGTATGATTGTCCTCCATGCCTCTCTTTTGCCAAGATCCGAAAGGACCTGGGAGAGCAGGTGAGCTTTCCAAAGTGAGAGGCGAATCGATGCTCCTGTTTAAATAAACAAACGAAGGGAATGTGTGTCGGGCCTCCTGCTGCTGTGGAAGGAGACCAGGGCAGTGATAGTGCAGAAGCAGAACCAGAAACACCCGGGATCTGGTCAGAAATCTCCGAAAAAATCTGCTTTCCTTCTACGAAAAGATAGGGGTCAAGAAGCACTAAGAAAATTGCAAAGAAGCCTTAATGTTCATGCTTCAGAAAAATCAGAGCAATTTTTCCCTTTCAGTCCAAGCTAGGACTCTGTATTTAGACTCTCCTGGGGCAAGAGGACTAGATTTCCTCATTTTGTTACAAGACTAGATTGGCACCAATGGGTCAGCTTCCCAGCGAGGTGTGTGGCTTGCTGCCGATCTGGTTTGCCCTTCTCTGGCTGCCTTTTGGCTGGCCTGCTTTAGGTGGCCATATCATCTTGATAAGAGCAGATGATTTGGGGACTGGCTGGGTTGGCAGGAAAAGAGCAGGCTGGGTCTCTTGGGACGGGTTCCCCCCCAGAAGTGTAAGAACAAGGAGCCAGGATTGTGCTGGCAGCCAGGGAAACAGTAGTGCCTGTTAGAGTTGGCAGAGAGGGCCTTGGCACCTCTCGCATCCAGGCAGTCTTGTGAGATGGGGGCACGTTGCGCCGGGAAAAGCAGAACTCTATTCTCACCTCTATTTTGAGCTTCGGTGCTTTATTTCAGTATGAGGAAAAACAACAACAAACTGAAGTGCTTTCTGTCCTTTTAAAGGACAACTGTCGGGAAAGGAGAACCGAGTTGCCAGGTGGGTGGGGAGAATTGGCAGGGAGAGACCTTGTAACAAGACTAGGAAAGAGACATTCTTGACTCCTCTGTTCCCTGGTGTATTATGATCCAGGGAATGAAAAGAAATTTGACCCTGGAGTAGTTCCCTCCTTGGATTTAAGGGATGTTACCTTTTCCTTCTACTAGGTTCTCCCAAGTGAGGACCAGCTGCCCATTCAGAGCTCAGGGCAGCCTCTTCAACCTTTATAGGCCTGACCTGCCTTGTTGAGAAACCAACCCCAGCCCTCCCAAACAGGGCCTGGCTGCTCTGTTCTGTACCAAGTACTGGAGAAAGTGTCAAGTTCTCAGTAGCTCCTACTCTAGTTTTCCATCTTCTGCCTACCAAGGCCAAACCAACTCTTCGTAGCCACAACGCGCATTCACAGCGGCACAATGAGCTGCAATGGAGGACTTTGAACCTGGCTGGCTGGGGAAAGCAGTAGGGGTGGATAGAGCTGTCTTTCCTTCTGGGCCGTCTCCATCTGTCCCTACCCCTACCATTACCCCCCAACCCCCACTCCCACCAAAAAGTAAAAAATCAGGATGTTTTTCACTGTCCATTGCTTTGTGTTTTAATAAACAATTTGCAGTGACACTCTGTGTTGGGATTGAGTTTGAACCTGACTGGAAAGAGGCAAAACGGTGGGGTGGGAAATGGGAGACCCAGGGATTCGCTTGGCTGTGAAGGGTTCTCTTGTGATGAGGCTAGGAGCTTTTGTCCATTTAGCTGTGGGTCTCTTGCTTTTTCTTCACCATGTGATATTTGGTTAAGGGAAAGATAACTCTGTAAAACCCTGTCTGGCCATCTCAACCAGTAGTACATTCAAAGAAGTAAGCAAAGTTACTTTGTGTTGTGTTTCCACTTTCATGGAAACACGAGACCGTGACTGTCCCACTCCCAAGGCACACTGGGCCTGTACCTGCCTCTCCTCTCATCTTTCCCTCAGCTGCTCCGATAACTTGTGGACAAACAGCCATGGAACATTTTTCTCTGTTTTCTGCTGTGTTGACAGTGTTGAGTCTACAGTGGGAAGAAGCAGAAAGCAGGCAGGATTTCTTCCTGTAGTTGATCAGCACCATTTTACAACTGAGGAACATGAAGCTCAAAAACAGTTCAGTAATTTACTCCAGGCTGGTCAGTATATGGTCAAGCTAGGATTCAAACCCAGTCTGTCTTCCTCCAAACCCCGTGTTCTTTCTAAGGCTTTAAGAGTAATAAGTATCTAAGAAAAAGAAAAAAACCAAACCTGTTTCTGTTGAGTTGATTCCAACACGTAGCGACCCTACAGGACAGTGTAGAACTGCCTCATAGAGTTTCCAAGGGTGTATTCTTTACAGAAGCAGACTGCCACATCTTTCTCCCATGGAGCAGCTGGTGGGTTCGAACAGCCAACCTTTCAGTTAGCAGCGGAACCATTGAACCGCTGTGCCACCAGGGCTGCTTGTAATAATTATAGCTATCCTTTATCGAGTCCTTGAAATGGTCTGGGCACAATGTCAAGTGCTTTACAGATGTTATCTCTGTGTAATTGTCAAGAAACTAGTTGGCGTTACCTTTGAAGAAGGGAAATGACTTGCCCAAGGCCACACAGCCAACAAAAAGCAAAAGGCAGAGCGGGGATTTCAAACCAGGAATTTTGTCTTAATCATTACTCTCTATTCCCTTCCATTTCCACCATGATTCTGTGTGACTCCAGAGCCTGCCTGCTGTATTTTTCCAGGAAGGA